CCATCCAAACAATTCCAAAAAAAAAAAAAAAAAACATACCTTTGTCTTGAGATAGCCCTCCACCTCCGGGCTCTTGAAGCCGCCCTTGCCCTTCCAGGACAGCGGCACCATGGCTACCCTCTCTTTCACAACCACCTCCCTATTCGGACCCTCGACGGCCCGAATCTTGTCAGGGTTGTTCGTCAGCAGACGTATGTGCTGCTGTCCCAAATCCAGCAGCATGGCCGTGGCCAGGCCGTAACTTCTCGCGTCGGCGGGGTGTCGCAGCAGCAGATTCGCCTCGACCGTGTCGGACCCCAGATCCTGCAAGTTGTACGCCTTCAGCTTTTCGCCCAGCCCGATACCCCGCCCTTCCTGGCGGAGGTAGATGATGATTCCGCCAGAGGTATTGCCGGGCATGCCCATCAGCCGAGCCGCCTCGTCGAGCTGCTCGCCGCAGTCACAGCGCGCCGACCAGGCCGTTTCGCCCGTATAACACTCGGAATGGATTCGCACCAGGGGCGGCTGCGAGCCCGGCCCGGGTGTAGGGGGTGCTTCTTGGCCGGCATTCATGCCACTGGTCGTCCGGCCGGGGAACAATCTACCCGTGTAGGCGCCGCGGATCATTCTGTCCATTTCGGTCTCTCCCTCGCGGGGGGCATCGAGGCTCTTGCTTCGAATGTGGTTGCCAAACACAATGGCCAGGTGCTCCTTGTTGTCGACGTTGTTGGTGTACAGGTGGAGGAACATTTCCGTGCCCGTGACGGTAGGGATGCGCGCGCGGACAATGCATTGCACTTCGGGCAGCGTTTGTAGCAGCTTTGGCCTCTTGTTGCCACATCCGCCGTCGGGGATTGAGCTGTCTACCGGGACACCGCGCGGTCCGGCTCTCGTGGGCGTTTGCGTTCCAGGAGTCTGTGGTGGGGTGAAGGCGGGGGACAGCAACGACGGCGGCGGTGGTTGCGATTGCGATTGCGGCGCAAGGGCGGAATCTTGGCGGCCCTCTTGCGAGAGGGAGAGTTCGTCTACAGGTTGGTGAGGGTGTTGATCGTGGCCGCTGGACGCAGCTGCATCGACGGGCGTTGAGCGTGGCGAGTAAAACGACGGGAGATGGCTGGTCTCGCCGAGCTCGGGGGGCGTGTTGGACGGCATTGTCGGCAACGGGCGTATGGGACTCGGCCAGGCGCAAAGCCTTGGGAGCTGCGTATCTCTTCGTCTTGCCGCAGTGCTGAATTGACGCACAATCGCGCAGGTAGGGAAATGCGAGCTTAATTATGTCGTGCTTCGTGCCTCGTGATTGTTGACTGTAAAGTGAGCGCCTGCAACGGCGGCCGGTCGGCTCAATTAGTCAGAGCCTTGGGTCCGTGATTCGACCGACCGGCAGCGTGGAGGCTTTGGAACCTCGGCGAATGATGGGAGAGGCCGTCGAGTCGTCAAATATCAAATGTGCCATGCAGGAAATTGTGGGTCGCCGTCGTTGTCGAGCAAATTTGCTCCGTATTATGTCATCCATTGGAAATCCCCATGTGCTGCATGCACTCATTCCCTCACTTACAAACTCTCCGCGCGCCGGGGGCACAGGGCTTTCTTGTATTACACACACTCCCTGCAATCTGTCTTTTTCCAAAACGTTTGATTGATGATTCATGCAAGAGTGTAGTTATTTTATCACGGGACGAACGGCTCTATTTCAACCAAGCTTTAGCATTATCCTTGCCACTTCTGAAACGGCCCCTTTGGCATTGATTTCCCATCACATCACAATGTTTCACCGAGATGCAGGACCGAATCATGATTGATATGCAGACAACCAATCTTTTTGTTTTTTTACCCACGTCTTTTTCATCATTTACAATCTGTCTTTGGATTCTAAAGAATTATAATATGTACAATATAAATGTGTCTACAATTCTGTTTCCTTCCCAACATCCTAAGAAGGTACCTTCTTGCCAGTGCCGTACTCGATGTTGACGACTTCGATGCCAGTAGGAGTGTGTTGGTCAGCAAGTTGATGAGGGCACTTTGGCTGGTTTTCACCACTATTCATGTCGAGAGTGCAGATCTCGTTCCAACCATAGTGGCTGATAGCGTCATTGATGTTGACAAGCTCGTAGTTATTGGAAAACCAGCTGCCGGGCTGCTGTTGGTGGCATTTGCTGACATAATTCATGCTGTTGGAGGCAGAGAGAGGCAACTTGCCGTCGTTGAGGAGGTCCTTGCACTGGTCGTCAGGGACGACGTCAAAGTCCATGACGATGCCGCCTCCCTGCCGAGGGTCTTCCGTGGCAGACTTGCCAAAGCCAAGGTAGTTCCAGGCGTCGTACGAGATGTCGTGCGCAGCACCAGATGAATCAATCCTGAGGAGGTTGAGGCTGCGGCCCTGGTAAGACACCTTGACGCAGAGGTCCTGGCAGGTGAAGTCATAGGGCCAGTAGGCAACACGGTTGGTGTTGATCCTGCCTCCAATCACACCGATGGAGGAAGAGTACTGTGCATGGGGGGTGACGCTGATGCCGCGGCCTTGCTTAGGGATCACTCTCTCAGCAGAGATGGCGGCGGCCAAGGCGACGATGACGGTAGCGATTGAAGAGAGCATTTTGACTGGTTCTCTTTGTGTCTCTTGATGTGTCTCTTGACAAGAAAAAAGAAGAAGAGTATCAAAGAAGGGAATGCGAACTGTGATCTTGTGTATATGTGCAGTTGTGAGAGTATTTATAAACCACCAGGGTTGGAACTTCAAGGAATGTATATGAAATTCAGGAAAGGAATGTCTTGAACCTGTCAAAGAACCCGTAGTAGATGATGTTTGCTTGTGTCAATTTGGAAAATCTGGGAGGGAATCGATGCCATTCTTATACCTCTGGCGGCGGATAACCACCAAAGGCGGAACGTTGGTCTTGGCCAAAGGGAATCCTTTGTAAAACATCAAAGAATGACCTTGTATTCTGCCCATCTGAACAGTGGAAGAACAAGTACCACGACCATTGCCGGGACCTGAGCCGATGGGAGGGCTATTGAGCCATCCTATGAGCTTGCGACGTTGTGACGAGTTTTCCTCGATATACACGCATTGAGAAGGAACCTCCTCATAATTCTCAAGTCCTTGATCCGCTATTCCACTCCTCCACACACACTCGAGTCTATTGCCACAGTGCCCTCGTATGAATAAGGTCCTCCCCGAGTGAGGACAATGCGTCGTTCCTGAGCCACGCACACCACAGTCCGAAGTTCACATGTAGTATCGAGCCTGTGGAAACGCAATGGCTCTGTTGGTGGCGCGTTCATGGAGCATTTCAATGGGGCATGGCGTTCTTTGTCTGCGCTTGGGTCAGGCACACTCTGTGGAAGGGGGGGGAGGGGGAGCTGACAAACACGTCGTTGTGCCCTTGGAGGTGCAGCCAATCCAGCGTCCTGCAACGAGGAGGCGTCGGGTGATTGGCGTGAGCTGCAGGAACAATGCAGCCATTACGCATGTGTGTTCCTGAAGCCGCCCCTACTGCTTTTGCCATGAATCTCATGTTGCAAGTGCCGGTCAGCTGACCTAGAAAACGTGGCATCAGCTCAAGCAACCTTGTCAAATGCTATGTATGAATCCTGGCTCGCGGGGTGGCTGCTTGAATCATGATGTTGTTTTGTTTGTAATGTAGTAGCAGTACTGGCTCAAGCACGTTGCACCGGATCGAAGACGTTCTCACTTCACACACGGACGTCAAATAGCGGAAAGAAAAGTGGATGAGACGGAGTCGATGAAGATTCATGGAGTTGGCATGGCGGAAAACTTTGAGTAAAAGTTGGGACCACATGACTTGGGCCATTCCATCCTTCTAGTGTCAAATCGCGGACAATCAATCGCCCACTTTAACCGCCATGCGATTTTTTCTTTTCTTTTCTTTTCTTCTTTTTTTTTCTTCCTTTCCTTTCTTTTACTTTTTTTTGGACTCTTTCTCTTGTTGGTTTGGTTAGGGCAGTGTGACTGTCGTGAACGATTGGCTTACACGTTTCCAAGGCGGAGAACTTCTTTTGATGGCGGTTAGCTTTAGCACCAGCACGCTTTGAGTGGGTACGACTCACAACAAAAAGATGATCTCGCCCAAGGCGCCCAATCGCTTTCAGCATGTGGAGGAGAACTCGACTTCAGGAGGATTTTTCCATTGCAGGTACTCGCTAATGGTGAAGCGGATTCTTTGTTTCTCCCGTTTCTTCCATGGATCTCGTCCATTCCCATTGCCGGAAGGGATATCTCTCAGGAACCGGTGTGTGCCACGCGTGGCCAACTTCCAACTTTGGTTAAGCCGTGGCCAAGAAGAAAGAGGAAGAATGCGCAATTATCTGCCAATCAGCCTTTTGGGAAATCTATTACGGTGGACCAAAGCAAGTCCCCCGTCCGTGAGGAACGACTTTGGAAGCTTGATGCTTGACAGGCGCGGGTTATCCGGAGCTATGCACTCCGTCGGGTAAATTCATCGTCAGCCTGCCTGTAGGAACGAAACAAGCCGATGCAAACAACAGCCAGGGGTCTTGGCGGGAAGTCTCCATTTGCATTGATTCCTCCACCACGTTGACATGGCGTTGACAGCGCAGAAAGGCTGGGATTTTGTCCCATCAGTTGCGATGTGACTGGATAGTGCGAAGGGGAAAAAACCTAAGCAGTGTCTGTGTGTCTAGACTCCGTCCCGAGAGCTCCTCTCGGGCTCTCGGCGAACCCTAGCCGGATCGACGAAGAAGACGCGATAAGCACGGACAAGTTGCCCATCCACTTGGTCTTGGGGCCCGCAGCCCAGACTGTTTGAAGGCCATCCTCGAGGCTTATTCAACCTGACGTGCTGGCCTGCCCAGGGTCATGGTGGTAAGCACGAACGGAATAGCTTGCGACTACTCTGAACTTGAGTACCATCTGCGCTTGCTTCGGCGATTAACAGTACAAGCTGTACGGTAGCGATTGGATAGGCAACCCAACAACACGACGTGGCACCTGTGATTAGTGTCTCCTCGTCAGAAAATTCCAGATGCCCAAGTCTGATGTCGGAGGACCGCTCGGGATTTTTTACTCAACAAGTAATGGGATGAACGGATGACAGGTCTGGCGAGGGGGGACGGGAAGATGTTGAAAGATGGTTGTGCGGGGAACCGTGAGCGTGCCGACCGTTCCGCATCTTCACAATGACAGGTGGTGGTGCAGTTGGTGACGAGACCTTCCCTCGGCGAAAGCAGTACTTGCGCACCCCCATACCAGGTCAACTGGTGCTTTATTGCAAAGTCACCAGACATATTACTAGCAGAACTCATGGTGGTAGCTTTTGAATGATGTCTTGGGATGCGCTCCGCAGAGGTGGTTCGTTGCCAGAGGCAGTTCTTGAGTCCCTAAGCCCGAAATCCTTGAAAACTGGCCAATGGTCTACTTGTAGCGGCGTGGCGCTGCCTAGCAAGCAGAGAGCCTTTTGTTTTTTCTTTCGTTGTAAAAACTGTCATTGATACAAAAATGAGGTGCAGTGCTGCTGCATGAAATTCGCACTTATGTCTGATGTCTTGGCCGAGTCCTTGAGCTGCGGGTTGCTTGCTGTCCAAGGTGCCCCACCTTCCCAGTGAGGACAATCGATAAGCAGCTTGCCCAAAAAAAATTTCTGGTACACCAAGAAATGCTGGCACCAAGCCATTCGAGCTCACTCCACCAGCCTCAACAACGCTACGCTTCGGTCAAAATGTCCGCAGCTGCATCGCCCGAACCGGCGACTCCAAATCACGAGAAGAAAATTAAGAAGGAAAAGAAAGAAAAGAAGCGCGCTCGCGAGGAAGACGTCGCGGTAGCTGAGGGCGAGAGAAAGCACAAGAGATCGAAGAGCATCACCGCCGATGCCATTGCACAAAGCGACGACATCCATAGCCACCAGGATGTGAAGAAGGACAAAAAGAAAAAGGACAAGAAACACAAGCACCGACAAGATGCCGGTGAAGAGGTAGAGGAAGCGCACAAACCCAAGGCTGAAAAGAAAAAGAAGAAGCACCACAAGGAAGAGACCGAAACACCCACGCAGGTCGAGGTAAAGGCAGAATCGGGCGACGACGAATTAAAACCCGAAAAGAAAGACAAGAAAAAGAAGAAGAAACACGTCGAGGTCACTGATGAGGCCGTGGAGACTGTCATTTCGAAGAAGCCAAAGTCACAAACACAACTGACCACATTTGAGGATCCCGATGCCATGGACATCGACAAGCCGTCAACTTCGGTATATCAGCCACCGGATATTCCAGCCGACCCGCTGTTCCCCTTCTTTAAACAAACTGTTTCGCTGTACGAGCCCTTGTACCCCAATGGATGGGCGCAACCCATAACTAGCTGCCAATACCAGCACCTGCAACACCTTCAGAACAAATACGTTCCCTCACTCCGGGGTGTCTTACTCAACTACCAAAACGTCGCATTGGGACCCAGGCCGGGCCGTGATGGTGCTGCCACTGATGACGAGACGCCAACGACTGTGGTGTCGCAGAACGAATACGCCGTTGGTTTTGGTTGGATCACGGCCGATGTTGAGCTCTTTGTTCCCAGTAGGGGGGCCTGGATGGAGGGCAGTGTCAATCTGCAGACCGAAGGACACATTGGCGTGGTTTGTTATGGCAAGTTCAACGCATCTGTTGAGGCCAGGCGACTGCCGCCGGCCTGGAAATGGGTATCCAATGAATCCCCCGAGGCGCACGGGTTTGAGGAGACGGCATCTGTCATCACAGCTGACGACCACGGCGTGGTCCGCCAGATCCACAGCACTGGATTCTGGGTCGACGGTAATGGAGACAGAGTCAAAGGCAAGGTTCGATTCAGAATACGCAACTTTGACGCTGGGACTAGCGGGGAGACAAGCTATCTGAGTTTGGAGGGCACCATGTTGGACAAGGACAGTGAAAAGAAGCTGGTCAAGGAAGAGGCCCGCACCGCGCAAATGAGACGCGATAAGAAGGGCGGTCGCAGAATCGAACGGCGACGAGCACCCGACTTTAGCATGACGCGGTTTGTGGATGTGCAGGCTGAGAAGGACGGTCAAGAAGCAGAAGCAGAGACTGGTGGTGAAACTGCGAAGGAGTCATAGCCGAACAGGCGTTCAAAACAAACAAAACATGGAAACAAACGTCAATAACGGCGCGGACTTGCATTTTGCATCTTGTGGCTACCTTCTTTTTTTCTCCAATCTATTGTTGGGGCAATAGTGAGTGCAGGCTACTAAATGGAGTTGTGTGACATATGAGGAGCGGTTTGTAATTTCATTGATCCTGTTGACCAAATATATTCATTTACAAAAGAGAGTTTAACCAGGCATCATGTTTTAATGAGCCAAATGCACCGACTCCTTGCTAAACCGACAATCTGAATGCACCCGAGGCTGGCTTATGTCAAACAAAGGAAAAAAAAACAAAGGGTTTTAACACAACAGGCAAATCTAATCCCTGGCTTCGAAAGTATTATACAAAGGGATCCTCTGCGCAAAGCACAAGGGCCCAAAAAAAGGTTCATGCAGATGATTTAACCATTGGTTCCCACGGCCGAGACAAGTCCCAGAGGTACACCTCGCCCGTGTGTTCGCCGCCGTGGCCCTTGACAAAGATGTGCTGGATAAGCGGCTGGATGTACAGCGACGGGACGGCATCCCAAGCCGCGAAACAGTCTGTCCACGGCGGCTGCTGGCAAAACGCATCCACGTTTGCCCTGTATGCCTCCCAGTCGGCCGCGTGGTCATTGACAACGAGCTGGAACCGGACGCCCTGGACATCAATGACGATGCGCTGAACATGGCCCTGGGTCCCGCCGCTCAGGATCCACGAGTGGCCTCTTTGGTCGCCGCTGCACTCCCAGTCGTACCAGACCTGGGTGCCGGTCTCTGAAAAGTCGTCCAGCACCAGCCTCGACTCGGCGTCGAAGCCGATGGAGCAGTGCTGCGCAGAAATGCCGGGCGCCGGGGGGAGGAGCACGTCGCAGCAGTTGGCGTCGGTGCCGAGCACGAAGCTCCCCCGTCGAAGAGGCTCCTGGCTGAAACAGAGCTGAATGGCCCTCTGGGGCGCTCGTCCCGACACTTGGGACAGCTTCGAGGACAGAGGGCCGGACGAGGAGGTGGGTATGGTTCGGGCCATGTTGGCGGGGAGATGTGTTGCTTTGTCGGCGCTCGTGCCGCGTGCCGTTGGTACCAGCCAGGCGATGATGTCTCGGGAGTTGCTGTTGTTGCTCATTGTGACCAAGGCGGGTAATTGTATTATAAGTATATGTTTGAAATAAAAAAGAAGAGGAGGGTGGAAATGTTGTTTTGATTAAGCGTATTATACAGCATGCAATGGGCAGCCCATGAAGATGATGGCTTGACTGGGCGATGTTAGATGGACCTTCAAAAGGAGAAGAAGGCAGGCTGTATCTGTTTTTCAACAAGAGAAACGAACGATTTCTGTTCCGAACAATAATATACAAGTCTATAAAGCACTTTAGAAAAGACACTGCAAGATGTTCGAGATGCCGCTGCTTTATAAGATGGTGTCGATGGCGGCAGTGGACAAGGGTCATCTACGCGACGGAGACGGACGGTTGCGTAGGACAACGCAGCCAACCACCTGGGCGCTGCCAGGGACACTCCCTAGAGGCGCGACGCAGAGGGTTCCTCTACGCGCCGACCGCGTCGAACAAGTTCGCGGTTAGGCGTCAAGGTCGACAGCTGGGATTCCGGGCATTGATGCGTGAATGCGTGAATGGCAGGTGGGCAGCGCGCGTGGGCCGCGGCGGCGGGTGGTTTTTGGCGCGTTTAGGGCACCTGGGCCAATCGACTTCAAGCATTGAATGCTGTCAATGGGGTCGACGTTGGTGACTCTTGAGCGTTTGTGTCTTCAATGTTCCAGGCTGTGAACTCTTGGTCTTTGGTTTCCATGTTGGCACACGATGCCTTTGCTGGATTCTTCCATCTCATACCTTTGCGTGAATTTAGCCTACGATAAGCAGAGCTTTTCGTCAGGACAAACACCCTTTGCTTCTGACAATGTTTCAGTCGCCGTAGCCGACCCATCGGACACGCTGCCATCAAATCCCAGTACAGAGACACCAAGTCCTCTTGCTCGGCCGTCAAGACAAAACTTCTCGGCATGCGGTGGTGTGAACCCTGATGTTAGATTGGGTCCAGATTTGGTCTACAACACGGGTCGATATGTCCAGTTTTCACATTCATGTATTTGATTCCGCCAAAGTCAAGAAGCTATTGAGACATGGGACGCAGTGTTAGCAGGTTGTGGAGGCAAGCGCCAAGTTTGTTGCCTGAAATATGTGGCCACACTTTCTCAACACCAGGCCGGCCTTCAGCCGACCGAGCAAAAGCATACCAACGACGACATCTTGCAAAGTCAATTGAATCACAAAAATGGTTTCCGACGCAGCTACAGAGACGCGGGGTATGTTAATCTATTGACTCTTACCATCCAGTCGCACAAGCACTGCCTGGGCGAGCTTACTAACTGACATTCTCAGCCGCTACCCGCGAGGAGATGCGAGATGCCCGACTGCCGCTAGCCTACAGAGATAGCTGCGCTCATCTCCTAATCCCGCTGAACAAGTGCCGAAAAGAGACATGGTATGCGCCATGGAAGTGCTCTGTAGGTCTCTACCGATCCGTGGCGATGCGAGATGCTTGGGCTTTGGAGCCACGGGGTTTGCTAATCCGAACGCACAGGACGAGAGGCATAGCTACGAAAAGTGCCAGTACGTCGAGTTCAAGAAGCGAGTGGCCAAGATGGACGAGCTGCGAGAGTCGAAAGGCGGCGAGCGGACAAACTAAGCCAACGGGAGGAGCGATTGGTATCGCGAGGGAGATACTTGTATATATGCTGTATGGGGGAAGGAACAGAAAAAAAGACATTTGACAGCCTGTAAAGCTTTGAGAACAGAAATGTGAGATATTATCGCGGCGTCACAACGCTAGAGCGAAGGTGGTTGATGGGCTGGAAGACAATTGCGGCTGCCGTCTCCGATGCCGTTGGACACGCGTGCCCAAGGCCATTGACATATGCATCAAGTATCTTGAGCTAACATAGGTTCGGTTGAAATTCGTACGAGATTTGCGACAGCGGGGAATGCTTTTATTTCAACATAGCGAACTGGACGAGGAAATATTTGACTCATGGCGGAGCCTAGGCACGGGAACAAGAGGATGGAAGTGGCGGCCTGTCAACCTGCGATTGGTACTTTCGGAAAAGGATTTTGACCTGAATACTTATGAGATTCTTGTTTCTTCTTTTGAGCCTGCTTTAACGTTCGTTTGATAATACATACAAAACAATAACAACGCTGGAGTTTGACTAAGATAACGCTGGCTCTAGGTTTACAACCATATCTGTCCGAATAAAATCGTTAAAGGCGAGCCGGTATTTGCGTCAACGACGTCTTCCAAGCCTTGGGAGATTGCCGATGTCGCAAATGCTCGTGGGACGATACAGTCTCTGCGGATAGCAGGGCATCAGAGCGAAGTTGAAGTCTTTGTGCTGGTGGAATTGGGTTGCCTACCCAAGGTTAAAAAGTTCACATTCGATGTCCTCTATATTTGTCATCAAGTGGTAAATGCTAATTGCAACAGTGTACAGAAGACGAGTATGAGATTCGTGGTCTGATGGCGCTATTTTGTCACCTAGTCCTGCCGTCACTCGAATTCTATAGCTGCACCATTGCTTCCGATCTAGTCAATAAGAGAGATGAGGACTGTGTCAAGTTTGAACATGCTCCAGGACAAATCGATCTATGCAATGCGGTTTCAACAAACAAGTCCACCTTGCAACCAATTTCGAGAGCTGGTCTTTGCAATTTTCTGTGGTGCAGAGGCAGGCCGAAAGAACAAGCTCGGCGAAATCTTTCGTTTACTTTGCGCCCAGTCTCCGTACAGGCGCAAAGTACGTGACAGATACGTATACCTGTACATTTTGAGAGCCACCGTAATACAGGAAGGTATTCAACCTTGATGGACAACACCCGAAGCCGAACCGGGATCCTCCAGACGATACAACTGGACTGAAAGACGTGGATACGCGGGCGGGTGAATTGTGGGCAAATGGAATCATTGCAAAGAGCTTGTCCAAGTTAATAGGCGTATTACGTACGACGAACAAAGTCTCGTCAAGGGGTAGCGATTACACGCTCCACGAACTGTGGCTGAGATATTATCCACTAATATTTTGGTCTGTTCAAAGGCAGAGAGATGCGGGGAGACAATAGCTATTAACTTACTAACTGTTCGGTACAGCGGTGGCGATCCCCGACGGCTTCCGTCATTGACGACATCTGCACTTTGAGATGCTATCGCTCCAATGGCGAGCCGTAACACAATTTCCAGCTTTCCTCGTTTGCCGTGATACCAACCCGCTTGCAGTCGTGTAACCCAAATACAGATCAACACCAGCCTCCCGTCATGTCTCCAGATGTTGTCTCGTAACGCATTGGCCCAGTCGTAGATACCTCGGCTCAACCCGCACCTCGACCCCATCTCCAACTTGACCTCCCATCGACTACTTACACCTAGACCTCTAAATGTATTATATTTTTTGTATTTTTACTATATTATATTATATTATATTATATTATATTATATTAT